TTTTTTTTTTTTTTTTTGGTACACTCGGGACCTTGCACTTATGAGGCAGTAGTTTGAACCACTGAACTAAATCCCCAGCCTGAGATGTTTCTTAAATGTAAATATACCACAGATTTCAAGAACTTATTATGAAAATAATATAGACATAGATTATAAAGTATCTAATTAGTAATTTTAAATTGATTGTATATTGAAATGATAATTTGATTAAATTAGTAAGCAAAATATATTGGTGAAATTTCACTTGTTTAGTTTTACTTTTAACATGGCTTCTAAAAACACTTAAAATTAAGTACGTAGCTCACCTTGTATTTCTACTGGTTGGTGCTGGCATAGAATTAAGTATAGAAGGTGCTTAAAGTTCCAACTGCAATGTTTTCTCAGGAGCAACAGAACCCACTTATAAACCTGAGTGTCACCCTTGCCATAGAAAATACCCAGAGGCTGATACACACTGTTCTCGGCAGCAAACATAGGGAAAACACGTATAGAGATGTCTGAAAGGCTCTCTCTTTGCAAAGAGCAAAGCAGGCAAAATTTTGTATATTTTGACACCTTGTCTTCTGAGGCCCCTGTGCCTTCATGTTTCTCCCCAGCCCTCTCACACTCTCTCTAGGAAAAGATCCAATATCACCACCTACAACACCTTAGTGAGTATTTCATTTGGAGATCTGCTCACTTTGGGTGTTTTCATTTTATATTTAATCTGATATACCTTGCGAGGAGGAGAGGGGGAATTGGAGGACTTCAGATTCACAATCCTATTCCAGTGTCCCTGCTTCTTCTAGTTTAGTTTCTCACCCACGACTCTTCTGGCTCAGTTTCTCGAGGAAATGTCATTGTGGGTCTTCTTTTCCTTCTCCTAATTTATACAGGGTGAAAAAGGTGACCTGGGTATGATGGGCTTGCCAGGGTCAAGAGGACCAGTGGGCTCCAAGGTCAGTACGTGCTCCTGATGGACAACCCCAGATCTTCTTGATAAAGCTCTGGAGTAGCCGTTGTCTGCAAAATGGGGAGTGTGGGGCTGCTTTCTTAGGCTGAGGAATGTTGCAGATACTGGAGATCCCTATGCTGTCCTTTGTCAGCCCTTTGGGGGACATCCTGTCCCAGGATTCAGGGGCATAGGGATGCCATTTCTGATCCCCTCCTGGGCTGTGATGTTCAAACTTCTGGACAAAACAGCAGATGGAAACCTTGTTCAGGCCTCTGTGTCATAAGAAAGCAATGTTCTTTTCAGGCCTGGTATAAACACAACCCTCTGGGACCTCTTTATGACTGCAACCCCACCAAAACTTGCAGTGCAGCGTAGAGACTCTTCAGTGTCCCATTCAGGGGTTTCTTTCACTCGTGGACCACACCCAAAGGTTCTACAGTGCTGATTGTAAATATACTTTCTGCTTCCCTTTAGGGCTACCCCGGATCCAAAGGAGAAAAGGTCAGTGCTTGTCTCTTATGGCACCCCAGAGCCTGGTCTGGACTGTAGGCCTTGAATCAGTGATGGACAGAGGATGGGCTGAGGGTTCTCTTTAATCAGTAATTGGCTGCAGCAATCATTCTTAGCTATTCCTCTCCCCTTTGTCAGTGGGCTAGAGAGAGGGGGCCCTTCAGGATAGGGGAAAGCTCACATGGAGACAGATGCTTGCACATAGGGCAGATAGAGGATGGACAAGGAGAAGGTGGAGAAGGTGGCAGGAATGTGTCCTTACACGTGGCCTCCTCATCTGTCAAAATGGAACAAAAGCCAACGGGCACTTGAGACAAATTTCCTGGGGGATAAGGGAAGATCCAGAATTTTCTGTGAGCTATCCTTTATTAATTCAAGAGATCTTTGGGGTTCAAATAGAAGGCAGATCACAAAGCATTCCTTTCTCGGGAAAGCCAACAAATATCTCTATGCCATTTGTCACATGAGGGCCTTAGCTTAGGAGGCTTTTCAGTTTGAAATGCTTTTCTTCCCCCATCTCAACCTCAACATGATGTTAACTCATTGACTCTCTCTCCTGTGGTTTCCTCCTAGGGATCCAGAGGTGAAAAGGGGGACTTGGGTCCCAAAGGAGAAAAGGTAATGGCCAGCCCATGGAAATGATAAACTACGGAGGAAGTGACCGGCCCCCTACTCCTCCCATATGTGGACTGAATGATGGACAGACAGATAAGCAGCCTCCATCTTGAAAATGGCTGACCAAGCTCATCCGTAGCCCTTTCAAATGTTATCAAACTATTTGTTGCTCTATTCACAGGGTTTCCCAGGATTTCCTGGAATGTTGGGGCAGAAAGTAAGTACCTAGAAGTAGTGAAACACAGGTCTCAGGAAAACAAACAAAAAACAGACCCTGCAAGCTCAACAGTTACTACACTGGGGCTCGTGTTCATCAGGCAGGGAAAGTGGATTAACTGTGAAGGGTTCTGGTTTCGTGAAGGGAGCGAGTTGCCTTAGCTACTGAGGGAGGGTAACAGGATGGTCTCCAGCTTAACCAGAGAATAGAGTATTCCATCTGAGTAGAGAGAGGACCTTCTGTGCTTTTCCTGTTTCTTGGCAGGATGTAGCAATGTTCAAAAGCAGCAGCCTCTGTGACAAGCTGCTCAGATCTGAGCTTCAGTGCTCAAGGCCTCTCTCAGCCCACAGGCCTCAGGTCTTTGGCTTAAAGTCCCTGCTACCTGAACTCTTGGTGTAGTTATAAAGGGAAGTACCATTCTGCCAGACATGTGCAGAATTATTTTGACTGGATGACAGCAACCATTTTATAATAGTTAAATTTTTTATTTGTTTTTTGTCATTGTTGTTTTGTTTTTGTTTTGGTACCAGGGATCGAACTCAGGTCCTTGTGCTTGCGAGGCAGGCGGCAGAACCACTGAGCTAAATCCCCAGCCCTTTATTTAATTTTTTAATTAAAATAATGAAATATTTAATGAGCCTCTTGCTTAGAACAAGGCCTAATTTTTTTTAAAAAAGTGAGTTTCAGGTAAATTAAAGAAAAATGTTTGGTTGAGGATATACTCCTAAGTGAAATAAATAAATCATACAGGTGTAAATACTGAATAGTTTCTCTGGTGTAAAAAACTATAATTGTTCATAAGAGCCTAGTGGTATAATTGACAATGTGAAATAGGAAGAAAAGGGCTAAAGGTGTAGGGATTGTGGGAAGGGTAGGGGAAAGGTAATAAGGGAAAAGAAAAAATATGAGAAAATGAAAAAATGGAAAGAAAGTGTTAGTTAATGCGGAGGGAAGGAGGGGGTGAAGAGAGGGCAGGGACAAGGGGAAAAAATGAGAACCAAGACCTGTCATGTAAAGGTACAAGATCCCAGTAATGAAGGTAACTGTCCTGTATACCTAAAATGTACCACTAAACTCAATGAGAAAAAAAAAAAGAGGAAAAAAAGAAGAATATTTTGTAAATAAAATATATAGATATAACAAAAAGTATAAAGGTAGCAACGGATTGACAGATCTTTAGAAACTTTTACTTAGGGTTAGGGACTAAGGAAAAAGGATGAGGTCAGGATGAGAGGAGGTATCAGAGAATAAAGAGAAAGAGAAATGTATAACTGACCGTTTAGAACAATTCCTAAGCTAATATCGTAATGCTAGCTCTTCAGTTTGAGGCATTGACATTGGAAAATATTTTAACTTAGGCCCCAGACTGTACTTTTTCAAACATGTAAATGGATGCTTTCTTAGAATTTTTTAATTTTTTAAAATTCATCTTGACATTTTCCAAACTTAAACAAATTTTATCTACCATATCTAGTCAGTAGAGCATGTTTAAGCATTTTTAGTCTTTATACATTAATATATCATACTTTCAACTGTCAGAAAGTATTTCTGCCTCCCTAGAGAGCGTGTTGCAATTTTTAAAATAGATTAATCATATAAGCAAATTAGCAGGGCGTGGTGGAACATCCTTGTAATCCCAGAACTTGGGAGGCTTGGGGCAAGAGGGTTGCTGTAAGTTCAAGGTCAGCCTGAACTCTATTGATATAAACAGTGAAACTGTTTCAAAAAAACAAAAAATATATATACACAAACAAATTAAAAGAGAAAATTTTATTTTGAAACATTTAGGCTAGCTGAGCATGGCAGCACACACCTGTAGTCCTAGTATTCAGGAAGCCGAGGCAGGAGGATTACCAGGAGTTCAAGGCCAGCCCAGTCTACATAGTGCATTCAATGCCAGCCTGAACAACATAGCAAGATCCTGACTCACAAAACAAGCAAAAAAAAAAAACATGTAGTGTACGTTTTTATTCAGTGCAACACTGAACCTCAAAGAATCATAAGTTACTATAAAAGCAGGTATGATGGTTTCTCTGGCCTGTGCACCACCTACTTGGCATCAGAAGACTTGTCTTTCCCCTTTTATGGTAGGCTGTTTTAAGACAGCACTGATATGATAATCATAATTAGGTCTTAGGAGAGAAATTAGATCAAGAAATTACTGGCTGCTTCCAGTTGATAAAGAGAAGGGCCACACTTCCTTCTGACAGTCTCCTTAAAATATTTATATTGTTTATGCTACTGTTTTCTCCTAGCCAAACAAGACCTCCCCTGCCCTCTCTAAACAGCCAAAGGAGAATTGTGCAAAAATCTCCATGGCAACAAAGAATCCATCCTATCCCTTTCCACTCTCACCACCAAGAATGCTGAAGGATACCAGGAATTGGAAAGAAAGCATAGACTTAAGGACAGTTCTTGGTGATGCAAAATATGGGTTACTTGAGAGGGGATGGGCTCATTATGTTGGCTGAGCTGACGGATCATTCAGTCTTATGCTCGATCTTTCTTGTATGCTCATGTTCTCTGGGATTCCCATTGTATTTTACTGCATCTGCCCACCATGTGGACAAGAATCTGGGTGTCTGCTATTGTCTCTGAGTGGCCGGGGCAGCATGGCCACAGGCTGCTAACAGAAAACCTCATGGTTGTAACTGCTAAACTTACCTTGTTGGAGGTTATTTTAGGCTGTAGGGGATTTACAGGAGGCAGGAATAATGAGCTCTACAAGGTCATGGCCTCAAAAAATAAATAAATAAATAAATAAATAACAGGAGTCCTGCAGAACTGTTCCAAAGGTCTGGAATCCTAGAAAAACACAGAAAGAAAAACTCACAGTAGGATGGAGAAATGAGTTTTCCAGAATGTTGGCTTTGAACTATGAAATTCTTTTTTTTTTTTGGTACCGGGGATTGAACTCAGGTCATTGCACTTGCAAGGCAGGCAGTGGAACCACTGAGCTAAGTCCCTGGACCCTGAACTATGAAATTCTGTGGTTAGTGAATTTGGTTCTGATAGTTCAATATAAAGTTATTTTCAATTAGGGATGTGGTTTACACTATTTTTGCAATAATAATATTGAATATTTGAACATATATTTGAAACACCTCTCCTCACAAAACAAAGTTTTCATCTAAATCAATGGAAGTGAGCTGGAGCTTAAAGCAATATTTACTAAAGAGTAGGAAAATATATAGTCCTAATAAAGGCCATTTAAATGAGTGCAAACGTCCCAAAGATGACAGTTGGCAAAACTATGTGCAATCATTAAAGAAAACCTAAAGATTGAACTTTATATTAAAAACAAAACATAGCAAAACACAATCAGTATAAAACTTCAGCTAAAAGAGGCTTTCCCCCAGTTTGTAGCATCACACATGTGACTGAAATACAGAAAGAAATCTGCACCTTGGCTATTCTGAATGGTGTCTCTTAACTTGGCCACTAAAGCATTGCCCCACTGCTGTCTCTCTCAGGTAATAAGCAACCCGCTCAGGGATACTTCCTTTTCCTTAAAAGACAAGACTGCCTTTCACCTGCCTTCATCGGTCTCCCGGGCAGCCCCCCTGGAGAGACTTGGAATGATCCAGAGGCTGCCCTCACAGGCAGTGATTGCATAGACCCACTCTACACACTCGATTCCTTGCTTGCTTCTCTTTCTTCTTTCCAGGGTGAAATGGGTCCAAAGGGTGAGCCTGGGATAGGAGGACACCGAGGACCCACAGGAAGACCAGGAAAACGAGGGAAGCAGGTAAGGATCCCAGGACTTACCACCTCCAGAGGTCAGAAATTCTTGACCTGAGGGCACATGGAGAACAGGGCTGTAGACTCAGTCGGAGACATTCCATAGCCCAAGACTCTGGCATCCTCTGGGCTGGTGGACAGAAGCAGCAGCGCTTGCAGGAGCTCCCGGCTTCTCCAGCCTAGCCATCGTTCCAAACAGATGGGTAGGATGCTCCATCCGAGCTGTGCCTAGGGCCAGAAGCAAGAGTGAGCCTTTGGTTCATGGGGACAAGTCTAACTTAACCAAAGCAATTGGGAGTGGAAGGAAACCGTGGTCACTAATCCAGAAAATGTTCCTTTGCCTCAGTGTCCTAGCCACAAGTGGAATTTTGGAGACTAGCCCCAATAGTTCCCTGCTGTTGAAAGGTCTTCTGCAACTCAGTAATAGAGTGGTTTTCCCCACCTAGGCCTCCAGTTTGTAGATGATCTTTTTTATTGGGCTTATTCAGGATTTAGGGAAATTGCTCATCTTTAACTTTCCTGACTAGCGGGCTCCTATGTTAAGCTGGCGATGTAAAGGAAAAGGAAAGAGGAAGCTGTGTTTGCCAGGGCAGCTCTGGATCAGTTCTGAGTGCCTCAGAAAATTTTCCAGTCTGTTTTATAATAGCTAGGCACTCCTGGGGGGGGGCTTACTTTTTTGTCAGTTTGTTGGCATTTTATTTAATTTTATTTAAATAATTTTTAATTTTAAAAATTGATCTATATAAGCATGAATACATGCATGACTTGCTTTTTAATGTTAATGCCTTTAAATGGTAGCACAAAAGTAATTTGAACATACATTAAAATATTTGTGTTTATTTTATTTTTAACTGACAAATAACTATATATTTGGGGCCACACTTGATGTTTCAATAGATGCATACATTGTGGAATGATCGTGTCAGGCTAAGACCTCTCCCCTCATATATTAGTTATTTCTTTGTGGTGAAAACATTTAAAATCCTTTCATTTTTGTCAGCTTTTTACCTGTCTTTCCATTATGAATACATACACTATCACAAAAAACTTACAGAATTCAGAAAAAATAAGAAATCATCTAAAGACTCAGCACCTAAGTATATGCACTGTTGGTCATTGTGGTATGATTTGTTTTTGTTTTTGTTGTTGTTGTTGTTGTTGTTGCTTTTGGTGTTTTTTTTTTGTTTTGTTTTTTGTTTTGTTTTTTTGGTACCAGGGATCAAACTTGTGTCCTTGTGCTTGCAAAGCAGGCAGTGGAACCACTGAGCTAAATCCCTGACCCTGATTTGGTATATTTCCTTCCAGAATTATTTCTTCTTATACTTCCAAGTAGTTTCTTTTATATCCAATATATAGTTATTTTTGTCCTTAATTTTTTTGTTAAAACCACAATATTCAGTCTTTCTTGCTACTATAGATATTATTAAAAGTTTGAGAATATCTTGTAAAATACCTGCATCATGTTTTAGTAAATGAGTAGGTAACAGATTGCTCGGACAAGAGAGGTCTGACGAGATTGCACATACTGCTGAAATGTGAACAGCTTGGGTGCAAAGCTTTCCCCATTCTTCTAATGATTTCTTTGGGCTAGATCCACTGTAGATGCGCCCAATGCACATAGTTTGCCAAATTTTGCCTGCAGAAAAACTGCCTGGGCACTGACTGAATACAGATTCCCACTGTAGGTACCATCGTCATAGTTGGCTGTGTTTCATCCCCACTGCATAGACTTTACTTCCCAACGACTATGATGCAATTGGCCTGAAATGGGCCTTCAGCAAGATTTTTATGTTTTGTTTGCTAAGCTGCCCATGTCATTCTAATGTACAGCCAGGGTTTGGAACTATGGTAACACTATGATGCTAGTCACAGTCTTCTGCAAGTATATTTAGGAATGACAGAGGCTCCAATCTGGCTGAGACCTCACAATAACAAAATTCTAGTCTAATTTTCAAAGTTCAGTAGTTTCAATAGGTATTATGGTCATGGCTTCACAGTACTACCACAGATACCAATTTCCTTAAAGCTAGGCTCAGGAAAAGGAAAGGAAGTATTTTATCATGTTCTCCCCTGTTGCTGATTTCCATTCAGAATATTTTATGCTTTGGGGTTCAAGGAGCCTGTTGGACACTGAAAGTATAACTCAGGGGTAAAGTGCTTGCCTAGCATGTGCATTGCTCAGGGTTCCATCCCAGTACAAGGTAGAAAGAAAAGAAAAAGCCTGTGGCTTCTGTCCTCTACTTTTTTCTGATGGTGTTTTTCTTTTCCTGGGATAGCCAAAGCCAGGAAGCCTATTTTTTGACTCTGTTGGCATTGATTGTGCTGTAGTAAAAGCTACACCAAAACCACATCTGTGAGCTCAGAGTGCTAGGGGAATGAGCTCATCTTTCCTACAAAATGTTATAAACAACCCGAATGTGCGCCCAGGCCTCACTCAGTCAGCAGTTGCTTGAGTTGTTTAGCTTTGGAAGCCTATCATAGCACTTTATTTTTGTCATGAATTCATTTCCTAACGTAGAGTCATATATCCAGCGTTTGTTGAGCCTGTGGTACTAATAGTTTCTGGAGGTTATTGTAAGTCAACCCAAAACCAGATTGAAAATGCAGAAAGGATTTCAGATAAGAATTTCTAAACCAGAAAGATTTTAGAAACCATTTACTCCAGTCTCCTCAGGTTATTCACAAGAAAATTAAGGGCCAGGGAGGTAGAGCTGCTAGACCAAGACCCATCTACTGAGCCCCTTTTGAGCTAAAGGATAGAATTTAGAGTATGGCAACCAGCTATTCCCATTTCCTCTCCCTATTGCCTCCCTACTTCAGGACTTGCTTTTGTGCAGGCCTAGGAAAACACCTGTTGTCTTTTTCATAAAAAACTTCAGTTAAGGCAACTAAACCACCTCCTCTGGAGAGATCTTCCAACTCTGTGGCAAATAAGAAATAATGCTTTTCCTGGGAAGTACAGCCCAGTGAGTCCTACTGATAGAGACATGGTTCATTTGAGCGGATGACGATAAGTGAAGATTTCTTTACTGTTGGGTATCAGAATCAAGGCACATTTCCAGCTCTGTCAAGCTGTGTACTTCCTGTGCTCAGAGCCAGCTGAGTTGGCTGTCAGAAAAGCAAGGGTTAGCAGTGTCTATATTAAGCTGGTGTGACTTCCTTTCTCATCTTGGTTACTTCATGGAATGCTTCAGCTTAGGCGGAGGCTTAAGAAAGCCCTCTATATGGATGAAATTGGAAGCAAACAGACCACACAGATCCCATAGTAAGAATTTGAGAACTCCTTGGGTATTATCAAGAGGGTCTCTAGGCCTGACCAGGCAGCAGGTCACATGCCACCTTTCTGATTGGAAAGGAGTCTCCAGTATGCCTGTGATCAGACTTGGGGAAGATTATGTTTCATCAGGTGCACAAGCTTGCCAGTCTTAGTGTAGTAGGGACAGCCAGGCCAAAAGTCAGCGGTGAATCACAGTCCTGATTAAGTTGAGGGCAAGGGTAGTTAATTAGCAAATTGCTCAGGAAGAAGGCCTGTAGTAGTACACACCAACATTGTCCCCTAGGGTCACTCCAAGGGCCCCTGCTGGGAACTGAGCCTGATTTTCTCTAGAAGCTCCCAGAGTAGGCAGCAAAAGGACACTCCCAGGGGAATTGTTGTTGCTGTGTCCCCAGCTGGCCCCGGTCCTTACTTTTAGTAATAAATCAAAACTAAAGCACAAATTTACAGAAAAAAAAAAGTTTTACTTGGAAAGTTAGAGGTAAGGTAAGAAAAGACTCCAGTTTAGGTAGCTGAAGGTGTCAGACTGTGATACAGGGGTTCAGACTGGCCCACCCACGAATGCAGAAGGCCAGCTTTTAAGGATTAGCTGGTGGGCTGGGGTCTGGTGGATCATTACCGCAGTCCTAGTGTCATAGTTCTGGAATCTTTATGGCTCGGAGATGGGTTTGTTCGCGGATGACTGAGTACACTGACTGGAGAAAGCATGGTTGGATGTCCCCGGGGATTGCCCATCCTGGGGTCTTCAGTCTTGGAAAGGGTAATATTATGTAAATTCAGGGCTAATCAACCTTGTTTTGCCAGTTTTTAGACAGATGCTCCCTAAATTATTGACATAGCCATATGTAGACCTGAGAAAAGATTTGACCCAAAATGTATTTTGCATCTGTAGGCCCAAGTAAAGGGTCAAGATTTGTAGCAAAAATGGCTTTTAAGTCACTGGCTATTCCAGGAGGAAACCCGAATCGTGCTTTTAATGATCCTCCCTGTTTGCTCACCTATATAGCGATGCCTGTTTTATTATTCTTGTACAAATAAAATGGGCTGTGTGAACCAAGTAGGTCTCTGTTTACTCCTTAAATGAACGTCTCTGTTTAGTTTGTTTTGAGACGTTGAGGTTTTTTTCAACCCCTTACCAATAGTTTGAACTCTGTGTGGGCTCCAGACCTTAACCAGAGCTTGTGTGGCTCTTATCTATCGCTAGTGATTTTGTGAAGAACAATCACATCTTTGCTTTCCAAGTAGCCCCCCAGCTGCCTGTCTCCAGCCTGCTAATGACTGACTTTCTGCCTAATATTATGACTGCATCAGCCACAATGGGCCTTTAATTAGAAACTCAGGTCTTCTTTCACTGTGTGAAATAAATCCAAACCGTGCTCCATGTAGCCCTTCATCCTGTGCAGACCACGTTTTCACATCTATGATCGTGTTAGCCTCATAACGACCTATGTGGGAGTTTGTTTACTGGATCCATTTTTCTGAAGACAAAACTGAGACACAAAGCAATGAGAATGAGTTACACAGGGTCTCGTGGTCAAGGTAAATGTCTCACCTTATAGACCAACAAGCCTCCCACCCCTTTGTGCTGTCTGCCTCTTCCTCCTCCCTCTTTTGATCTGGGGAGGAAAGGGGAGCATGGCAGATTCCAGCCCACAGGAAGCACGTGTCTCACTGATGAAACGACCCCTCAGATAATCTCTGCACTGCAGCCTGGGATAAATGCTATGAAGGAAAAGCTCCAAATGAGGGGAGCCTCTACCAGGGAGAAGAACCCACCCAGGCTGGGCAGGCCTAGGAGTTCTTTGCCACAGCACCTTTGAGCTGAGAGCTGAAGGCAGAGGGCAGGGAAGAGGAAAATGAGGCAGAAAGCAGAGTTTTGAGAAGATGAACAAGAGTTTTAGTGTTCTTGACGATCAAAAGGACCATAAAACTACAGACACTGGGAAGCCTGAGCAGTCAGCTTCGTAGGTGGAGTAAGGATCTGGGTCTTCATACAGAGAGCAACAGGAAGCCAGTGATTGTGAACAGCTCTTGAGGTGAAGTAAAATAGTCGCAGCAAGTGGGAAGAAGGCATAAATTCTAGGCCTGACTCTGCCACCTCGATGCTAGAGTTCTTGCCCAAATTCTGGCCCTCTTCTGGACCTCTGTTTCCTAGTTCGTGCCCGGAGAGCTCGTGCATGGGCTCTGATGTCCTGTTTCTAGGACAGAGCAAGAACTAAAGCCTGCAAACTTGGCACTACTTCAAATGTCACCTGTCCCGAGCCTGTTAGGAGTGTGGCAGTCAAGACTTCTGGGGCTGCATTGTGCTTTGCGCTTTTGCTCCTATGTGCTGAGTCGTTTCTGATTTAGAGACCAGTGGGGAAGATAGTTGGCCTTGTCATGTTCTCATAATGGGCTCTGCCTTTCTTTCCATCAGGGACAGAAGGGAGATAGTGGAGTTGTGGGCCCACCTGGCAAGCCTGGGCCTTCTGGCCATCCAGGCCCTCCGGGCCCCCCGGGCCCCCCATCTGCAGGTAAGAGCTGTGCTGCTTCACTTGATCTACAGGGCCACCCTCCTGGCCAGCTACCCTACGGAGGGCACAAGGGGACACAGCAGAGCTCCGCCTGTGTCTTCAGTTAGAAACTGCCAAAGGCACTTGACTCTGTTTACAATTTCTCTCCAGTCTGGCTTGTTCAGCTTTTATACAAGCAATGCATAATGCCATACGAAAGAGTCCTTATTTATTTGCACTGAAGATGGGGAAGAATTTCCAAAAAGAAATGAACAGTCTATGGTTGAGGAGGGCATGGGTACCTTGTTTGACCTTTTCAAATTTGATTAGCTGTGTCCTTTATTTTGTTCCCTTGCAAGGCCTTTCAGACAGCATCTCCAAGTCCAAAAACAGCTGCTGACTGTGCAAGATTTTTTTTCCTTAGTTTATAAAAGGAATCAAAATTTTTTATTCCCACTTGTTTCTTTAAAAAGTGAAGGCATTTTAAAATCCCACCAGGCACTTTTTCCCATGTTTCTCGGAATGTACTTGTAGCCACATTACAGGACAGACAAGAAATGTATTTTGTTAGATTCTTTAAACCAAACTGAGATTGGCTGTAAGACTCCAAACTGTCAGGATGCCAAGAACATTCAATCTTAGCCGTTCCTGGAGTTGTCTCCACTTCTCCAATGATGACAAAAGGATTGGGCAATGATCCTGGTGAATTATGGTAGAAAAACATCGGAAGAGGCCCCTCCAGCCCTTGATCTACCCTTTGCCTCTAGAATATCTGTTTTCAGAGTCTACATGGCCCATGGATGCCTGGTAGCAGCTACCCTGTACTACGCTCGAGTGTCAGAACATGTGCAAGGCTAGGAATCCTGGTCTTTGTGGTTCAACTTACCAAGGAGGACTCACAGCCATTCTTTGTGAGTCTTTGTCTCTTCCCCAGGATAAAAGGACCCTATCTTCCCTGTGTCTAGGGAAACTCCTCCTCTTTCACACTCCACCTAGTTCCACGCTGTTAAGGGACCTGGATTTGAGATGTGGCCCGGGCCGCGTGCCCATGTCCCATAATCTGCTTCTGTGAGCCAGGTGACCTGGTTGGTCCTTTTTACTTAGTCCTCATCTTCTTTGGTTCTGGCATGCAAAGTTTTTCATGGAGTCCCAAAACCACGAGCTGCCAATCCCAGAGACTAAAAAAAAGTGTGGGTTTCAAGGTCATTGACAAACTGAGAGCTTATCTGCCATTGTAAAGACCACCAGCGCTTGCCTTGAATTCTCTTTTGTTCCTTCCTGGGGTCTAGGGTTGAGTGAGGAGACCAGGCCTGGGCAGCATCAGCAGTGGCTCCAAAGCCCACTATTTTGTCCTGAGTCTTTGGTATATTGCAATCTTTTCTCTTCAGCAAGCCTAGCAGAGTCCAGTTTTCCCTCCCTGACCTTCTGGCTCCTTCTCTTCCAGCCCAGTATGTCCACCTCTCTTTCCCTCCAGCATCCCACCCTCTGCCAAATCCTGGCCTGACTGGCATCTGCCCGCCAGCAGACACCAAGTTCTCTGCCAAGCTGGAACATAATCCTTGGTCTCTCTGAGTCCACGTAACTTTATCTGGCTCTCTTCTCACCCTCTCCACATCCAACAAAATCCTCTGCTTCCTTCAAAGCCCACTTTTCAATAAGGATATAAGGGCATGTCACCCTCTTTTGAGTGCTGTCACACACTGCCTTTCTGTTGTGGCCCTGCACTGGGCACATGGGTCCCTTGAGGGCAAGGTCTGTGGCTGAGTTGGCTTCACACCCCCTTGGCACCTGGTGATTGAGATGAGCAGGGCTGGTCCCTTCAGGGGCTCACAGCCTGTCCCTGCTGGGTTACAGCCAGCAGCCAAGCATGGTCAGGCTCCACTCTTTGGACCAATGTCCCCTCCCTCTCTTCCTTCCTTTGAGTGACCTCCTTTCTGGAGAGCCTCCCTGAGAGAGGATGCTGAATAGAGGAAAGAGGAAAACTGAGGCAATAATCTTGTTCTTTGTAAAAGTTTGTGGTTTTGCAGGTGGAGAAATGGGAAGGGAGGAGTTTAAAAGAGACATCCCTATGCCTAAGACCAACTGTATTACCACCCACAGTTGGCAAGGCCCCTGAAGGATTCCTCAGGTTACCTTTGAGAGTCTGATGATTAAAAAAAAAAAAAAGTCCTGAACCTGCTCTCAGGAAGGAACTGTGCACCTACACCCAAAATTCTGAAGCCCTTCCCCAAAGCCCCCTTGTGACAGCCTGGAGCTCCACTACCCATGTGTTAACCTCCCCTGGCCCAGTCCAGTCCTCCCTTTATGAATAAGAACTGTGAGCTTCAGAGAGAAGTGACTTCCTCAAGATCACAGACCTGTCTTGTGCCACCTGGTCCAGAGTCAGCCTGTGCCTCCTGAGCTCCCCGCGCAGCCTCTGAAGATTGTCATGCTGCCTTCTCCAGTGTGTCAAAGCTGAGGTGGGGAGTTCAAGTTGCTGTGCCCTGCGGGGAAGCCTGGCAGGAAGCAGGCAGAGGTAACAGATGCCTTCTAACAGCTGGGAGGAAGTAGCAGGGAAACTGCCATGGTGGCAGCAGGTTCCTTGCCACATCCTGTCAGGAGGCTCCCTGAGGTTCTGATGCCCAGAACTGTGAGGCCAGATGATATTAGGGAGGTTGGAGAAGGTGGGAGCTTTTTAGCTACCCAAGTTTCAGAGAAAGAGGGGCTATAGGTTGGGGAGGGAATAAAGGCAAAATATATTTGGAGTGTGATTTGCAGTAATTGAGTTACAAATTTGGCTGAGTCCTTCCTGCACCCAGGCAGGGTATAAGTGAATCAGTGTGGTACCTGGGAATTGCCAGCTTCCTGAAAGCATCAATATCCTAGGAATGTGTCTTTTGGGTGGCATATTATTAGGTCAAACATGAGTTCCAATCTCAGCCTCACCACTCATCAGCTGGATAACTGGAGAAAATCCTGATTCTCCCAAGGCCATGGTTCTGGGGAGTCACTGGGGTCACAGAGCCTTTCAGAAGATTGCTCCAATGCCGCTCTCATGCCTCTGCTCACAGAGCATTCCCACTTTATTTCCCCCAGTACTTAACTACCCAGACGAGGCCTAGGCTGATGGAGCCTCTTCCTCTGGGCCCTTCTGGAAATAGCAGAACCCAAGACTGGAGCTCTTTGCCCAGAATTACATTCATATTTCTTGTTAAATCAGACAACTGTAAATTGGCATAAGAAGCTGGCAGCCTCCATTCTCATGCTATCAAGAGTCTAATCTTGAGCAGATCTGCCAGCCAGCTCAGGAGTTAGCTGGGGGCTAGGAAGTTAGGGTCTTTCCACCAGCTGCTTCCTCACGGTCCCAACCAGACTTCTCCCCTAAAGTTATTTTATTTTCTGCTTTTCTGGGGAATCTACACCCTGAGTTACCAGATCATGGCCACCCCAGATATACTGCCTGAAACCAAGGACTGGCTGGTCTCCAGTTCCCCCTTACTTTCCCAGGATGGGTACATATTCATTCCTTTTCAGTCCAATCTTGTCTTCTGTTTCCTCTCTGCTTGTTTGGTAGACCTTGCTGTAGTGCTTTTCTGGCAGCCAGAGTGTGACTTCCTCTTCACTTAGTCTGCATTCATTCATTCATCAAACATGTGCTGTGCTCCATCTCTTTGTCAAGCCCTGGTGGATGAACACAGTCCCAGTCCTGCTGGCTGTGTGGAGCTTACATTCTCTGGGAGAAGATAGACCTTGTCTGCATAATCTCGCTGTGGTGGGCTAACTAATGGTCAGCTTAGAACACCCAGCTTGACTGTGTCAGTGTGGTCTGGATGTGGAAGGCCCACCTGAGGACTGTTGCCAAGGACATAAAAGGGAACTGGAGGGGAAGAGTGTGTGCTGTTGACTTTCTTGGAGAAGCTTGCCAGGGCTGGTTTTCCAGATACGAACTTGGCTGTTCTCATCAGAGGAGTTTGGATACTCAATGCCAGAGATGGCTGCTGTTCTCCTCAGGGGAGCTCTGGTCTTTGCCTTGAGCGTTTCTTCCTGGCTCCGCTGTAGACCTCTCAGCCTGGAGGCACAGGCCCCTCACCCTGCTGGCGCAGACTTTCTAGCTCCCACCACTGGCCTTTGGGCCTTCCTAGTGCAGATCCTTGATGTGGACTTGCATGAGACACTGCTGTAGTTTTAGGCCTCTGGCTGAACTCATAGAGGATGTTTCCTTGGGCTCTAGGCCTATAGTTGGACTTGTGTAAGGCATTGTCATGAGATCCAGGCTCTCACCTGGATTCTTCAGGTCTCTAGCATGTGGACAGATCTCTTGCACTCCTCTGCATTTGACTTTTTGGGAGAATATTATGGAATACTCCTATAAATGATTTGTCCTGTATTAAATCTATTCCCTTGCAAACCCTGACTACAACACTCGTATATGTAGAATCAGAGAGAAATGCTGTGAAGAATAGACACAAGGAACTAAGAAATTGTGCCTGAGGTGAACACAGTGGAGTGTAGGATTCAAAAAGGCTTCCCTACGGAGGTGACATTTAAAGCCAGATGAGAAGGGAGTTAGGTGGCCCTGGGGAACAGACGGATAGAGGATGGAGAGAAATGATTGGTGAGGGAACGGGGCTATGCAAATACCATTTCTCTGGACTAGCAGCTCTCAGTCTTGATGAACACTGGAGACACCTTGAGAGCTTTTAAAATTATGGGTACCTAAGGCTAGGGTAGCTGTGGTAGAACACTCAGTTAACATATACAAGGTCCTTCACTAGGTCCCCAGCACCACCCGCAATACACACACAACTGCAGATGCCTGGATGCTATTCTTAGATGTCTGGATGAAACTGGTCTGAGATGAGGCCTGGGCAATGCAGCCTTTAAAAGCCAAAGGAAAGCCAGACACATTGGTATGCAGCCCTAGGTACACATGAGGCCAAGGCAGGAGGATCACTTGAGTTCAGGAGTTGGAGACCAGCCTGGCCAACATAATGAAACATTGTCTCAAAAAAGTAAAAAGTAAGCAAAAGTCAAGGTGAGAACTCTCGCCTCCCAATCTCTCACACTGCTAGAGAGTAAGATTCCTGACCATATCTTTTCAGGGTATGTCCTGACTTTTCTCAGAGTTCATGAAGACTAAGCTGGGCATTTATAAATGTTCCACTTTCTTCCTGGAGAAATAAAAGAAGCCCACTTCCATATTCTTCTTTAAATATATAAATCTATATTTATATACAATTAAAATCAATAAAAGTTATTCTTCAGCAACGTGTTCTTCTTCAAGAAGCCCCTGTTGATGATCTGAACAAATATGGCATTGTTTCTCTCCAGCAAGAAAATCCAGAGAGGGACTATACCTGACTTTTTTCAACCCCAATCACTGTCAGAGTCCTAGTTCCCATGAGCCCCTTGTCTTTCCTGCACAATGGCTTTTCTTCTCACACTTGTTACTTCGTGATTACAAGATGGCTGCTGTAGCACCAGATAGTTTGTCTCTCTACAAGGCAAGAATGAAGGGGAAATTATATCTCTTACTAGCTTTTATGACCTCCACATCTTGTATCAAAGTGAGCTCCCTAGACTTCTCCCTCAGGCCTACCTGACATGCCATAGACTTTAACCTTTCTGTTGTACAGGTTGCTTATATCCCCCTAGGCTGTTTGGTTTTCTCTTTCTTGGTTCTAGTAACACAGTGGTCTGTTGCTTTCTAGGACAGCTTGTAATGGGACTCAAAGGGGAAAGAGGATTTCCTGGGCCTCCAGGAAGATGTCTCTGTGGACCCCCTATGAATGTGAATAACCCTTCCTACGGCGAATCCATGTATGGGCCCGGTTCCCCAAGAGTTCCTGTGGTGAGGCTTTTCTTGGCAAAATCTGGGTGGTTGTCCATGAGGACCTCTCAGGACTTTAAAATATCTTTTTAGTAAAACTTACTTTGCCCATTATGCTGGGCACACACTCATTATAGGAAATTGTAACAAAGAGAAATCAAAAGAAGGAAATCAGATTGTCCGTCTGGTTATGGGTTCACTTTTCAGTATTGCCTTTTTTAAAAATAATAACTGATAGTTCAGATAATATTGTGTAAAAATGTTGTCTTTTAGTTATCTTTACTGAAATCCCATCATGTTTCAATACTGTGTATATTTTTCTGAACTTTTTATTATAGAAAATTTCAAATAAATATAAAAACAAAACAAAACAAATAGCCGGGCGTGGTGGTGCATGCCTGTAATCCCAGCACTCGGGAGGCTGAGGCAGGAGGATCACTGTGAGTTCAGGTCAGTCTCAACTACATAGTGAGACCCTGTCTCAAAAAATAAAGAAAGAAAGAAACCCCAGGCACACTTTGCCCAACTTTAATAATGATTAACTCACATCTAATCCCATTTCTCTTTTTTTCTTTATGCCTACTGTCTACTGCCTGCCCTCCCTAGGATTATTCTGAAGTAAATTGTAGGCATCAGTTCATTAGAAACACTTAAATGGATACACACTCATTTATCCATTATGTAGCTTTGCCATGGTTTATTTAACCAGTACCCTGTTGTCAGATATTTATATGATGTGTCCAAGCTTTCACTGATGTAAATAATACTGTAATGAACACCTTTGAGTATGACTGTTTTGTTAAGAATCATTTCCATTGCTTCTCGGCCTTTTGCCTAAGAGCAAGTAAAGAATCATTTCCAGATGCTGAGTTACTTAACCATGTAAGTCTTGGGACTATCTAAGACATTTAAACATGTTAAATCATGGAAGGTATTTTAACTTCAAACTCGGGCATTAGGAACTGGATTGAGAAGGGGTGGGGATCAAGACATTCTCCCCATTCAGAAGGAATGCTACATTGAACCACGAAACCTCTCTCTGCACTGTGGAGAGGCCAGCACAGAGATTCTATTTGCTCCTCCATTTTACCTACCCTATGGAGAATTATTCTCTGGAAACCTCACCAGTGTGTTCTCTGGCAGATTTTTGTCGTCAATAACCAGGAGGAGCTTGAGAGGCTGAACACCCAAAACGCCATTGCCTTCCGCAGAGACCAGAGATCTTTGTACTTCAAGGACAGTCTTGGTTGGCTCCCAATCCAGGTACCCCAAGGGAGACTCCTTACCACATCCCCTACTGCCACTGCTCCCACCCAGGAAAGGGATACATGCAAACAAGAACAGAAAGGCGCTTCCCGCTCCATCAGCTGGGCCTGGACAGAGCGTCACTCTCTGTCTCCATGGAAGGCCGGGCATCCTCCCGCTTACTCTTTCTGGTCGCTGTCTATGTCCCATCCCCACATAGAAGCTCCCCTCTGAGCCAAGGTCCCCAGTGGTCTCTACGTCACTGCAGTATGTGATGCTGTGCTCATCAGACCCGATATTCTGCCGAGCATAGAACTCTGAGTGGATGATGGGAAACAAGTACCTTTCTACCCGCAGTAGGAAGCTAAGGGATGCCCCTCTCCTTAGCTGTGCCCCTCGGGCCCAAGGGCATCTGTTTCCAGGGCAGCAGCCGCCCTGCTGCCTGGCACGGTACCTCCCAGGTTAACCTTGTGTGTCTCTTTGGCCAGTTGACCCCTTTCTACCCTGTGGATGACACCATAGACCAGCGTGGCACCTGTGGGGATGGGGTCCTGCAGCCTGGGGAGGAGTGTGACGATGGTAACCGCGATGCGGGTGACGACTGTATCGGTACGTGGGGCCCTGAGCAGCCAGTGGTGGGGTCAGGACAAGCTCTGGATGCCAGCTGAGATGGTTCAGGGCCATGCTGGAGCCAGAGGGTGTTCCCCCGACTGCCTGTGATATCTCCCTCCCCATTTCTGGCCAAAAGTGAGTTCTTCCACTAACCAAGCTTACCAACCAGTGTTCTGGAGGGTTTGGCCTCCAGAGAGGCCTTCCTTGCCCCAGCCCCTCTCTTTTTTACAGTCCAGTTTTTCCCCTTTTTTCCGGGACTGAGGATTAAACCCAGGGCCTTCATACTGAGTTAAATCTCTAGCCATTTTTTATCCTTTATTTTGAGACAGGATCTCACTAACTAGCTAAGTTGCTGAGGCTTGGCTTGAACTTGTGACCCTCCTGCCTCAGCCTCCATATCCTACTTTTTGACAAAACCCCCTGTCCAAACTCAAAGGTAATGGGCACCAGGTGTGGTGGCTCATGCCTGTAATCCCAGCACTTGGGAGGCTGAGGAAGGGGGATCACTGTGAGTTCGAGACCAGCCTGGGCTACATAGTGAGTTCCAGGTCAGTCTCAACTACATAGTGAACCCTGTCTCAAAAAAAAAAAAAAACAAAAAAAAAAAAAAAAAAAAAAAAAAAAAAAAAAAAAAAAAAAAAAAAAAAAAGGTAACGGGCTCTTGCTTTGCAGGACTGAAAGACAACGTGGGCGAGGGGCTGCAGGTGTGACTACAGACCCCTCCCCAGGTCACACAGATGGCCCCGTGAAGGGAGGCTGAGCTGCCTGAGCTGCTCCAGGCCTGCAGGCTTGCATGGACAGCATAGTGCTGGAGAGTTTTGTTTTGTTTTGTTTTTAATCGAGTGACAAAAGCAGGAAGGGAGATAGAAAGCATGGTTTTTTAAGTGGGAACATAGTGCGAATGCAGGCTGAGTGCCACCAGGCTGAGAGGAACACTGCCTGCAGCCCTGAGTCTCATTTTCCTCTGTCTGTGAGATGGATGTGGTGGTGCTGACCCCTGGAACCTTGCGGGATTCTGGCCATCTGGCCGTGGTGAGGGCTTAGCAGGCGTTGGGTAAATCCACCTCTGACTTGGTTTCCCAGAGTCAGCCCTGAGAGTGTGACCTTGCCCTGGAGCACTCTGGGGAAGGAGGACAGAGCAGAGATGAGGCTGTGGTGGGTGCATGCAGTGGGGCAGTGGAGTAGTGGGTACAGAGGGCGCGGCTGCTGCCTTTGCCTGTGCTCCCTTCCCCTCCGGCCCATGTTCAGACTCTCAATGAGGGGCTCACAGAGTAGGAAGGAACTAGTTTGGGTCTCTATACCCTGAAAAAAGAGGGGGTTACCTTCCCTGGGTGAGAATAGGGGTCTTTGTGGATGATCACGTGGCTCTCCAGGACACAGGCTGGGTGCCATTGTTACCACCCTGGGACACGATCGTCACCACTCCGTGCTGTCAGGTGGGAGTCACCGTGCTCCTCCTTGGTGTCAGACGCCCAGGCGCCGGCGTCTCACGTCACAGGAACTCACAGCCGTCCCATGAGGGCGGACAGGGTCCCTGGCTACTGAATGATGAGGCTGGCTGGAGTCCCAGTCTCCTTCTCTTGTTTCGGGTGTGGCCGTGGGAGACTCAGGTCTGCAGGACAGACCAGGGCTGTCGGAAGCCTCATACAGGCCGATCCTCAAGTAGTGGGTGCCCTGGGAAATCCTTCGAACTGCAAGGCCCTTACAGTCTGAGGCAAGCCTGTGCCACCCTGCCCTGCTCCGGGCTGCCCTCTTGTATCCCCCAGGCTGTCGTCGGGCCTACTGTGGAGACGGTCACCGGCATGCGGGCGTGGAGGACTGTGACGGCTCGGACTTTGGCTCCCTGACGTGCAAGACCTATCTACCTGGGTAAGGAAGGCGCCGTGTGCTGCTGTGACTCCCATCCTCTGCTTCCTCCGCTCCTCTCCCTCCCTGATCTTTTTGAGTGTCTCTCACATTCCTGGTACTTTCTAGACATTGAGGTAGGGTGAAAAATAACGCAGCACATCATCCCTGTTAACAAAGAACTTTCTGCTCAATCCCTGTGTGTCCTCTCAATTGGAACAGGTGCCCCTGAGGCTGAACTGGGGCAGACACAGCTGCCAGCTGTGTCCTGGGGAGCAGCAAAAGCTCCAAGTCAGCTAGCTGATAAGCCCAGCGGTTACCGTGGTTACATCCCTCTCCTGGCTGTGGCCTGGGAGGAGAGTCCAGTGGAGGGGAGTAGTGTCAGAGCATGCCAAAGAATCTGTGTTCGTGCAACCTGAATTCCCTGGAATACCCTGCCCACCCCTTAGCCATGCCTGTGGGTGCGAGTGAGATCAGACGGCACGAATATCTAGTTCTACTGGTTCACGATCCTCCAGTGAAAATATTTCCTCTGACTCCTGTAGTTGTTTCTGTGTCCCCCTCATCCTCACAGAACCAGAGTTGTAGAATATCCTAGGAAAAACAGGAGAGCTGTTCCCTCCCATCTGTGTCCTGCTGCTGTTCCCTGGGCTTCAAAGTAGATCTGCTGGCTCTGAGATCTCTAAGGTCTGTCGGCCCTCAGCCAGGCTGGGGAACAGACACCAGGCCTGTCTCTGCCACCTCCATTTTCTCTTCCAAGGCAGTCTCCTCACCATTTGCCCTCCAAACACAACACAAGCATATCCAGCCAGGCAGGGGGAGTTATACACCTGTAATCACCCTGAGCCTCCAGGCCTGTGCAGGCTTGGCCCAGATCCCAGTTACACATATGTGTCTTGTGCACTGCCCCCTCCCTGACAGCAACTGCCAGAGTTAGCAGGGCCAAGCTGCTTGATGGGTCCATGGAGGCCATTGAGTGTAGACAGTTAGACACAAAGTACAGATTTGAGTAGGACCCAGGGCTTATACACTGTCTCCCTGTGGTCAGTAAAGGCCCAGAAGCCTCAGAGAGGTGCTTGTGAATGGGTGCATTGTGTATAAAGCTCTGTCTCAGGGTTACCATATGGGTTTACAGAGGTAGAGAGTACACTGTCCAATATGGCAGCCCTATGTCAAGTGCTCAATAGCCACATCTGGCCAGTGCCACATTTTGGGCTACACAAATATACAAGTTTTGTGTCATCACCACACATTCTCATGGGCACTACGGGAAACCCTTCAGGCCTTGAGAAGGGAGGATTGTCTCATAGATGCTGAGTTAAGAGCAGAGCTCATGGCTCCTTCCATCCTGGTCCCTCAGTCTGGGCTCAAGGCAAAACTCCCCAGAACCTGACTCAACTTCCCCATGCTCCACACTCCAAAGGAGAATGAGAAAACTTTTCACAGAGCCCTAGGTCCTTAGTGAGATGGCAGCGAGAGCTGCTGTTTGATGCAATTTGACAGTCACCAGAGGTGGCCTTTTAGAATGTGGCCTTGCCCTCAGAGCGAGGTACAAGCTCTCCTGCCTACAGCCCTTCCCTGACCCTCGTCTTTGCCCCTCAGGTCCTATGGAGACCTGCGGTGCACCCAGTACTGCTACATTGACTCCACACCCTGCCGCTACTTCACATGAAGATGTAAGGAGCAGGTAGTGTAACTGGCAGCCATTTCCCACCCTCATCAAGCTGGCCTTGCATTTTCCTGGGCCAGTGTCCATCCACCAACCTTTGTGTGACAAAAAATGAGGACAAGTTCTTGCTGCTAAAACGTGCTTTCAACAGTCTGACTGGAAGAAGTTAGGACCACTCTATCCTGTGTTAATCCAAAGTACCAGAAGACCTTCTGCATACCCACCCTGGGAATTAACTGTTCCCTACCTACCATCTGGCCAAATGTCCTTTTCTTCAGGAATGTCACTCGCACAGGCTGTGGACTGGCTTTACACTGTTACATACACATCCTGAGGGCTGTTTTCATTTGCTCCAATCTCACCGGTAAGTCTGGGGTACAGACTTCTCTGTCCAAGGAACCTCCAGACACAGCCATTCTCACCAGAGCAGCCTGCTGTCAGGGCTCTCCAGGCCTGAAGACCACACAGCAGGGAAGTGGACACATTCTTCAGCACAGCTTACAGCTCTGGACCTTCTGAGGGACTTCAACTGACCAGAGCCCTGCCAAGCCTCAAGTGGATATTGCTCCCCCAGGAAGAGACCCAACTGTGAAAAAGTACTGAGAAAGCCTCAAGACCCAGGCTCAGCCAGGTAGAGGGTGGAGGCACTGCTGGCTTGCATGCTGTGTGAACAATGACAGAGCAGTGGCCTCTCTCCTTTGATACTTGCCAAAGGGGCAACTCTTGCAGTTTCCAAAACCCTGGCACCATCTTGACTTTGTAGCTGTCTGTGCACTTTGACCTCTGTCTGGCAAGGTCAAAGTCTCACTTTAACCTCATGCCCACTTCCTGTTCTGGGGACTCACTCCACAACCCCACTGGGCATGGGTGTCTCCTTGTCCTTAGGGAGATACCATTCTGGTTTTCCCTGTTTAGGGCCCCACTGCTGATTATATTCTCACAGAGAGTATATTCTCGCAGAGACGTTTCTGTCCTGAGCCCCCATCTCCTTGCTACTTGCTGACTCCTGCAAGCACCCTGTGACCGGGGCCCCGTCTTTTGTCTGTGTCTTTCACATCCTTGTCCTCATAGCTGTGTGCCTGAGCTCTTCCCGTTCCTACTGAATCATTAGTCTTGCATGTCTGAGCTGCCTTTCATCATTACCTTTCCTGACTGGGGCTTGGCTTTATTATGGAATGGCATCTCCAGGATTTTCCCACTAGTTACCAGATGGGGGATCTCTACCCCCAACTTCTGGCTTTGTACAAAGCCATTCAGTGACCCTGATTCTTGGGGACTCAGCAGGCAGAAGCTTGTGGTGCAGTAGCCCATCTAGGGTGACCTGCAGGTGCACCTTGTCCCCCAGAGGTCACATCAGCCTAAAGGTGGTGTCATGAGAGGCAGGTCCAGTAGTTCCCTTGGCCTCTAGGCAGCATCCTGGGGAGATGATGCTTCCATCCACTTTCACCACTGTGCCGGGACTTCTGGATGGGAAATCAAGAAAATAAAGGCAGTTCCTCTCTGTGGCTCTCTTCTTTGGGGACTTGGGGCCAGTATTTCATTGTTGCTGGACAGAGAGAGGAGCCTGAATTCATTTCTGCTTCCTAGATTCTGCAGAGAAGCTTCTGGAATGTGAAAGCATTCCCCCTCCTTTGGGAACAAAGGAAGGAAGGGAAATCAAGAGAGATACTTTCCCAACACTGAAAAGCCCAGTCCTGCTAGCCCAGTCCTTCCTCTAACCTGGCGTTAAGACCTTGTTTAGGGTGGGATGGAGATCTCTTAGTACTCTTAGACATGGCCAGGAGGAAGCACACACCTTGGGGGGCAGCACTCTGGTCCTCCTTGTGCCTGACCCTCCCCAAGGCTGAGGAGTCTGTGGGGCCAAGGTGAAATGCCGCTGGACTTGCACACCTGTCTCTTAGAGCATATTTCCAGGTCCCCAGGAAACCAGTTCCCTAGCCACATGTCCTGAGCCTGTTTCCAAGGCCCACACAACCCTCTTCCCCATGTCTGTCCTCATGGGTATAACCTGTATTCACCTCCGAGCCTGAGGGGAGCCAGGGAAAAGCTGTCTGTAAGGGTTACAGAAGGAGCTTGGATGTGCCATAGACACACCCGAGGCCCCTCCCTGTGTGGGATGAGTCCAAGGGTTAAAAAAGAAATGGGTCTGCAGGTGCAGGGCTTCGTGGGATCTACACAAGGCCTTACATAGGCCTGGCCTTGTGGTCTGTGTGAAAGTGTATTTGCTGAGATAAGCAAATAGATCATATTCAAATAATAGTTTGTTAATGGGACTCTAACTTAAATAGGCATTTGGAAGGTGAGTGTCTGTCTGTGATCTTCCCTGGACCCCACAATGTCGAAGGCAGGCCTGGCCCTTAGCCTAGGACATGAAAGGATTCCAAGTTACATGCTTAGAGAATATACATGATAATAGCAGCTCTGCCCCATTAGCACTTTGAAATGGAGAAGTGAGAGGTCAGGGTGAACAGGTGGCACCCCCACCCCACCTTCCTTGAAACAGAAGTGGGCACAGTCCACTGCCTGGACTAGGCAGCCCTGGAATAGATATCCAGGTGCTCACCTGTGCCAGGGAACTGTTTCCTGAGACAGCGTTGGGCCAGTTGAAAGAGGAGGTGTTGTACTGTAAAGGGCAGAATGTCTTAACTGGGAACGCAGGTACCTGAGTTCCTTCATGGCTTATCCCTTCTCGGCGCTGAAAGAGACTTGATGCAAGGGCTGGACATTTGCCCCACTCTAAGAGCTCGTGAGTGAGCCCTGCCCGCTGGCTCTGGCAGAGTTCCTTAGGAAGTGGTGAGTTTCCTGAGGCGATTCATAAGGAGTGGTGGAGAATAGGACAGGGTTGCAGAGATGCAGTTAGTTACCCATGAGGCTGTGCCAGTCTAGATACCACCATGGGGTGATTTGTGTTGGCTCAGAATTTTAAAGTCCAGTCGTGGACAGAGGTCAGGCATGGTTCAAGCAGGGCCCCACTTCATTGCTCTTCTGTCAGGTCTGTTTTCATCTCTTCCTGTTAGTTTGATCCTTAGGGTGGTCATGAGCTGACCGATGCAGTTTCAAGCTTATATCTGTTACCCCTAACTTCAGTGTCCAGAGGAAGAGAGAGTATCTATTCCACTGGCTCTCAAGAAATTATTTTCCAGAAGCTCCCCCATGAATCTTGCCTTGAGGCTCCTTGGCTCCTTTTTGATCCCTTGTCTGTTCCAGAATTGGCAGGAGAATGGTATCTATTGATTGAATAGAAGCTGGTTATAAAGTGACTCCCTGCCTATCTCCTGGGGACTCTCCGAAGTGCAGAGGCTGTGTAGGGAAGGAGAGGCTGCTGGACTGAGCGTCGAGGAGGAGGAATGTGGAAATGCGTGCTCGGTGTACGTGATACATGATATCCATTACAGTGACTGCCTCTCTGGCTTTGCTGCCTTTTGGCAGAAGTAGGTGCTGAGCAACTTGGGGTAAACATCTGAGAAGACTGGTCACCTCAGAAAGTTCTTGATTCTGAAGGTCCACTCAGAGAAGCTGATTTTCACAGTGTTCTGTAGGTCAAGACAGATACAGTATAGTTTGTGAGAAAAGCAGAATATGGTATTGTATTCCCACTTCTGGATTTGAAGCTTGGCTCTCTTAGTAACTCACTGTTTAATTTAATTTACTTAAATTCTCTGGTTCTCTGCTTTCTCACCTGTAAACTGTGAATAATGTTACCTTATCCTGAGTTTGTAGTGAATTGTAGTGATACTATGGTTAATAGGATGTGCTGAATTTTATGAATCATTGTCACTATGTAGTAGCTCAGCCAAATCAGTCACTTCTTTGGAGAACCAGGTTCTTTCCCCTTTGAGGATGGTGACATGAGCTCGCTTTTGACAGTAGTTTGCGCCACAATCCTTTTGCATAGAAGTCACAAGGAGCAGTGGCCCTCACACCTTCTACGCATTTGCCTATTTGATGCCTGTCATCGGAGAGGAACATGCCCCCAGACCAACCTGTAGTAAGTAAGGAGGCCAAATACCACAGGAACAGTGGACATCTCATCAAGCCAAGCAGGCCAGGACAGCATTGAGGTTTGGGAAAGGATGGAGTTTAGGGACCATGTGAACGCAACAGTGATGCAGTAGTCTCAAAGACATGAGGAGTGGGGCTGACATCAGACCCAGGATCTGACTTCTTAGCGACTTGCAGACGTAGAACATTGTGCCTACAAATCCCTATCAAAGGTTCCTCATCCAGGCTGGAGATTGAAACTACTCTGTGTCAAAGTGGCTCATGAGGCTCAGATCGTCCAGGCAAGAATAGAATTTTTCATTTTTACTCATAGGGTTTCAAACTGCAAAGTTTTAACAGCCGGTGGTTTTAGTCACAAATGTTTGCAGTGATTTTTTTTTCAGGTGTTAAGAATAAAAATGTGAGGCTGAGGTGTCACCGGGGAGGAAACACTAGTTAAAAGAGTGATTATGATAGTTTACAACTGCAGTGAAAACCTCAAGGACTTAGGGCTGACTGACTTTCTCAGTCTGGGCCAATTTTTAGTGCTTTCATTACTGAACTGGTTTTGATACTTTCACCAGTCACAGAAGCCCAAGCTCTGCTCAGCTGACACCCAGGGACCCAGAAGAGTGCTGAGATTGTCTTGGCCACCCCAGGACTCTTCACTACCCACCTACAAAGTTACATGACAAATGTGTAAGTAAGGTGTTCGCGGGAAGCTTGGTACCTAATCCTTGGGAACCATTGTCTGAGAAGGTGATAGGACAGAGTTTCTCAATTGTTTCCTGGGACAAACAGTTCATCCATCACTCTCATATGGAGAGCACATTGGGCCAAATGGCTAGAGTGTCTCCAAAACTCACTGGGATTAATGAGCCTACTTCTTACTTCTGCCCCAGTGACAGGAATTGTCTGGCCTCATCCCTCCCCCATAGTGGAGTGAGCCAATTTAAACTTTCAGAAAAATTCCCTTCTTCCCTTTGTGCGGAAACGATCAGCTTCTAGGTCTTCACCTGGCAGTTCACCAAAGCGATTGCTGCATTGAGCCCACCATTGCCACTTGGGTCTTAAGGTTCCAAGAGCATGGTTTATTCTCCTGCATCTTCTTTTGTAACCATTCGGAGAGTTTCAAGTCACATAAGAGTGATGGAATAAGCCCCCCACTACCACCACCTCCTCCAACTCCACTTGAGAAATGAAGGTCACGTTACCTTTCATCTGAGGGGCTTTCTTTCTGGGGTCCACCCTGACTTCAGTATCAGACAACACTCCAAAAACACAATCTTATTCTTTTTTTGGTACCAGGGATTGAACTTGGGTCCTTGCACTTGCGAGGCAGGCAGAGGAACCACTGAGCCAAATCCCCAGCCCAAACATAATCTTATTCAAACAATAAGTTAGCTATTTCTCCTGCCGCTGCCCCCACCACTCCCTTTATAAAAATGAAAGGGGGCCACATATGGTACTATTTTCCCACAGAAACACTAGTTTCTCAAGACAATTTCAGTTGGAGTTATTTTGGTCCCTGTCATTTCTTCTAGGATTTAATCTTTGGTGTTCCATAAATAGTACCATACTCCACCACCCTGCCCCAGGCTGTTTCCAGTCCTTCCTCACCTGGAATATGATGAAGGCAGTCATCACAGTAGGTCATCACTTGAGGCTCATAAAGAGGGACCATTCTATCCTGGGGCAATGGTTCTCAAGCTTTAGGGTTAATCAGAATCACCTGGAGAGCTTGTCCTCTGGCCTTCACCCCTTCACCCCAGAGCTTTTTTTTTTTTCATTTGCTCAGAAATGGAGCCTAGCAATTTGTATTTCTAACAGATTCCCCAAAAATCCTGATATTGCTGAATCCAGGACCACATTTTAAGAGCCACTGCTACCGGGGAGATGGCTCATCTGAGAATAATGGCAAATTTGATAGAACGTAAGTGGGCCTTTGGGTGGCTTGTGATAGCCTTCCATTAAAGCAATGGAATATATCCTTTGATCCCTTGAATCTAGGTAGGCTTTTGATACATTTAGCCAATAGAATATTGTGGATGTGATTCCTGGTATGTGGCTTCCCGGGCTATGTCATAACAGGCAATGCAGCTTCTTAGAACAGTCATTCTAGAGAAGACAGCCATTGCAGGAGAAGACCAACAACACTGAGACCACCCAGCCAGAGAGGCTGTGTCCATCAGCCCTGTGGTTGATGGTCCCCAGACGAGCCTATTTCTAACCATCCACGCACAGGTGCTAACTTGCACCCTTCAGTTTAGCATATCTGCCAGCTGAGTGCCAGAGTAGCTTCAGTTAAAACCTGAAGGAGCATTTGTCTCTCCAAGTTTGGTCCCAATTCCTAACCAACAGATTCCATGAGACAAAATGGTTGTTTTGACCAGCTAAATTTTGGAGTAGCTAATTACTCTGCAATAGATAACTGCTTATAGAAATGGGGGGGGGGCCAAACTTCTGCCCAAGCTAAGTGCAAGGAAGGGTCAAGCCAAGAGAAGCTCTATTGGCTTACATTTGGCGCCCTCTGCAGGAGCCAGGAGTAGAAATCTGTCTTTCTAACCTACTAGGCAGCAAAAAATGCCAGAACTGCAAGTGACCTAGAGATCTTACTGCCCAGCCTTCTCCACTACGGAGGAGAAACAGGGTGTGATATAGCAGATTGATTGCATCAACAGCCTCAATTCTTCCCACCTCCTGATGTTCACACCCTTTCCAAAGTAAACTTGGAACTTATGCCATCAGTAGTTGAAGTGCCTTTCCCTACTCCTTAGTTCTGAGCTTGGGTCTGTAACTTGCTTTAGCCAGTGACATGTTAACAATTGTGACAGAAGCACTTGGTGTTTCTTCTCTCTCCTCTGCCTTTGCCATGACAACATACCTGGACTGGACTCCTGGAGGATAAGACACGGAGCAAGGGCTGAGCTGTTCTAGTCGTGCTGGCCAGCACTGTCCCAGATCAGCTAACCTCCAACTGCTAGTCATACCAGAATTTAGCTAAACCTAGTCTAAGTTGCCGCTCTGCAGATCTATGAGCAAAATAAATGTTTCTTGTTTTCAGCCATTGAGGTTTCTTACAAACCAGAATAGTGGCAATGGTTAATTGAAGATAAAACTCCTTTAGATGATGAATGTACATCACCACTTTCCTACTGAGATGTTTCAGGCCTCGCTATTTCTACCTGAGAGCATGGGTACCATTTGCAGAAGGGGCAGAAGGTTCCTGTAATTTTACTCAGTCTAAATTTATTGAGTACCCATTAGAGGTGCCATAGAGAATTAAAAGGATTATGGGCACTTGTCCACAGCCCAGCAGGGATCCAATGCATACATTATGTAATGTTTAAATCAGGTTAAACATATTTATCACCTCAATAGTTATCATTTCTCTGTGGTGGAAACGTTCCAAACCCTTTCTTCTGTCTTTTTGAAGTATGTGCGTAACTGTTACTGATATCCATAGCGGCTGTATTAACTCACATCCCTGTGAGCATTGGGCAGGGGCTCCCTTTTCTCCATATCCTTTCCAACATTTGTTTTTGTTTTGGTTTTTTTGCAGTTACCAGGTTAAACCTAGGGCCTTGTGTATGCTAAGCAGGTGCTGTACCACTGAGTTGTGTCCCCGCTCTTTGTTTTGTTGTTGTTTTGTTTTTGAGACAGTCTAGGTAAGTTTCCCAGGTTGGCCTTGAACTCATGATCCTCCTGCCTCAGCCTCCCGAGTAGCTGAGATTCCAGGCGGGTGCCACCTCACCCAGCTAACTTGTTGTCTTTAATCTGTCTGATATAATAGCCATTCTTACTGGTGTGAGGTGGTTTCTATGGTTTTGATTTGTGTTTCCCTCATGATTTTAGTGAATGTGTTGGCCACGTGTATGTCTTCCTTTGAGAAATGTCTGTTTGTATCTATTGCCCGTTTTAAAAGCAGGTATTGACTTTTTTTTTTTAGTTCCTTGTATATTCTGAAGACAAACCCCTTGTCAGATATATACATTGTAAATATTTTCTCCCATTCTATAAGCTGTCTCTGAACTGCTGACTGCTTGCTTCCTTTGCTGTCCAGAAGCCTTCAGCTTTATGTATGGTAAGTCCCTAATTTATGAGCATTCGAGTTACGAACTTTCACCACTACGAACAGACCTCAAATTGTGAACATTCATAGATGTGAATTGTAGAAATAGATCACACATCTGCCAGACATTATCACAGTTGTGCTGCTGTGTGCTTACTGTACAGCGTAATGTGTACAGCAGTCCAGTCCAGTCTGGGGCTTACAGTATATTTGTGTATGTGGTTTTTTAATGCTTTACATCGTATATTTGTATCAAAAGCATATGACTCACTTTGTGGGACTTATGAACAAATCAGAACAGAACTCATTCATAAATCAGAAATTTAGTGTCTATTTTGGCTTTCCTTTTCTGTGCTCAGAAGTTCCTCATCCTTCCCAATGTCCTAAATCAATTCTGCTAAATTTTCTTCCAATAGTTTCAGGCCTTACATTTAAATCTTAATCCAGTTTGAGTCGATCTTTGTAATTGGTGAGAGACAGGGGTCTAGGTTCATTCTTTTATATGGATATCCAATTTTCCCAATACCATTTATTGAAAAGACTGAAGAGCTTTTTCAGTGCATGTTCTTAACACCTTTATTGAAAATCAGTTGACTGCCAGGCATACTGGTGCACACCTTTAATCCCAACATGTGGGATACTGAGGCAGGAGTATATCAGCAAGTTCAAGGCCAGCCCGTGCGACATAGTGAATTCAAGGAAACTGCATAGTTAGTCTAGTCTCAAAAAAACCAGTTGGCCATAAATGTGTAGGTTTTCTTCTAGGGTTTCTGTTTTATTCCACTGGTCTGTGTGTCTGTCTTTATGCCAACACCATGGTATACTGATGACTATAGCTTTGATGTATGTTTTGAGGCATAATGCTTCATTCTTTGTTCTTTGGCCTTTCTGGGGAATTTTGTGGTTCTTTATAAATTTTGGAATTTTTCTAGTTCTATGAAAGATGCCATTGATAATTTGGTAAGGATTGCACTAACTCTGTAAGTCACTTTGGGTAGTATGGACATCGTAACAGTATCAATTCCTCTGCATGAACATAGGATGTCTTTCCACTTTTTTGTGTCCTCTTCAGTTTCATTCATTAATGTTTTATAATTTTCATTGCAGAAATCTTTTGCTCTTTTGATTAAACTTATTCCCATATATTTTATTTTTCTTTTGTCACTATTGCAAATGGGTTTGCTTTTTTGATTTCTAATTTAAGATCATTTGCTATTTATATCTAGCAGAGCTTCTCTTTTTTGTCTGTCAATTATTCGTATTGTATCCTGAAAATTTGCTGAATTTATTAGTTCTAATAATTTTAGGGTGGAGTCTTTGGAGTTTTCTACATGTAATATCACGTCATCCATAAACAGTGGCGATTTGACTTCTTCTTTTCCAATTTGGATACTGTTTCTTTTTCTTGCCTGACTGCTGTTGCTGGAACTTCCAGCACTATGATGAATAAAAATGGTGAAAGTGGGCATCCTTCTTTTGTTCCGGATCTTAGACAAAACTTTCCACTTTTCCCCATTCAATATGTTAACTTTGTAAAAAAAAAGAAATATTAACTGTCAGTTTATTATAAATGGCCTTTATTATATTGAGGTATGTTTCATGCATGTTTAATTTACTCAGCATTTCATATCATGAAGGGATGTTGCATTTTATCAAATGCCTTTTCTGTATCAATTTAGATGACCATATGTTTTTTGTCCATATTCTGCTGATAATAGTATGCAATAATTACTGATTTGTGAATACGGAACCATTCTTGCCTCCTTGGGATGAATCCCATTTGATCATGTTGAATGATCATTAAATCTGCTATTGGATTTAGTGTGCAGTTTGCTAGTTTTTTGTTTTTGTTTTTGTTTTTGTTTTTTTGCCTATGTTCATCACAGATATTCTGTTATTGTTGTGTCTTTTGATATAAGGATAATACTGGCCTCAGAATATGTTTGGGGAAAAATCCTCTTTCTTTTTAATAACTTAGGAACTGATACTTAGCTTTAAGTGTTAGGTAGAATTCAGCAATGAAGCTATCGGGCCCTAGGTTTTCTTTGATAGGAGGTTTTATTACTGACTCAATCTTGTTACTTGCTATTCTTCTATTTAGGTTTTCTATTAATTCATGATTTATTCTTGGTAAGGATCATATATCTAGGAATGTGTATTTCTTCTAAATTATCCAGTTTCTTGTTATATAGTTGTTCATAATAATATCTAATGATCTTTTGTATTTCTGTAATGTCAATCATGTTTTCCTTTTCATCTCTAATTTTGAGTCTTTCTCCTTTTCTAGGTATAAGGATTTATCTATCTGTTCAAAGAGCCAGCCGTTTGTTTCACTGATATTTTGTATTGCCTTTGTTTTGTTTTGACAGGTTTTTTTTTTTCTTTTTTGGTAGTTCAGGCAGTCCTTGAATTTACCATGTATGACTTTTTCTAAGTATCTTCTTCATTTATTTATTTATTATCTTTATTATTTTTTTCCTTCAACTAATTTTGGGTTAGTTTGCTTGAATTTTTCCAGTTATTTGTGATATTGTTACAGAAGGAATTGGCAAGTGACACACAAAGAGGCAGCGGAATGGAAGTAAAATAACAAGTTTATTCCATAAATGGGGGTTGATCACACCTAATGGCAGTGCCCTGATTGACCCTGTACTGGGCTACAACTCCCTCTTTTATAGGGGTTTACAGCCTTGATCTCATTCCGGTGGTTACATTTCATTTTCACAGTTCACATTGCTGATATTCAAAACATGGTGGCGAGGCAGTTGAATTTCAACCCAGATGTAGCACTTCTTTAGTAGGGTAGGTTACCTTAAAATTCACCTCTATTCTAGCCCAGGGGAAGGGGGAATGTCTGGTCAGTAAAGTTGACAGTGGTTCCTTTTTACAAGACGTTTTAGAGAGAGTAGATACCTCCAGTGTCTGTTGATTCTGAACTAAACAAAGCAAACCACAGAAGTTATTTTACATTGTGACATTTTGTAGGGTTTTTTGTTTTTTTGTTTTTTGGGTTTTTTTTGCTATTGAAGTGATCTCTATTGTTATGGTAATGGATGATTTGAGACTTTTTTTACTTTTTTGATGTGGACATTGATGGCTATAAACTTCCCTGCTAGTATTGCTTTCTTGCATAGCGTAGGCTATGGTATGTTGTGTCTCCATTTTCATTTGTTTCAAGAAATGTTTTAATTTCCTTCTTGATTTTTCTTGATCCATTGATTGTTCAAAAGCAAGTTGTTTAACTTACATGTATTTGTGTAGTTTCCAAAGTTTCTAGTCTTACTGCATTGTGGTCAGGACTCCATATGATTTCAATTTTTAAAAATTTTTTGAGACTTATTTTGTAGCCTATTATATGATCTGCCCTGGAGAATGAATGTTCCATGTGCTGATGAGTAAATATATATTTTGGCAGTTATCAGCAGGAATGTTCTATTAGGTGTCTGTTAGGTCCATTTGATCCAGGGTGCAATTTAACTCTGATATTTCTTTGTTTTCTGTCTAGATGATCTGCCCATTGCTGAAAGTAAGGTGTTAAAGTTCCCAAATATTATTGTGTTGGGGGATCTATCTCTTCCTTTGGTTCTATATATTACTTCCTTTATATATTTAGATTTGTTATTTTTCTCTTAATGAATTCGCTCCTTTATCATTATATAATGACTCTGTCTTATACTGTGTTTGACTTAAAGTCTGCTTTATCCAAAGTATGGCTACTCCTGCTTCTTTCTTCATTTTCAGTCTTTATGTGTCCCTAAGAGATCAGTGAGTTTTTGTATCATATAGTTGCATCTTTCCATTCATTCAGTCACCCTTGCTTTTAATTGTAAAATTTAATCAATATTATTGATAGATAAGCTTTTACATAACTTATTTTCTAGTCTTGTTGCAGTTCTTTTTTTTTTGGTACTGGGGATCAAACTTGGGCCCTTGTGCTTGTGCGGCAGAGGGTGAAACCACTGAACCAAATCCCCAGCCCTTTTCTTCCTCTCTTACTGTCTTCCTTGTTAGTTAAGTAAATTACTCTAATTGTGTGTTTTGATTCCATGCTTATTTTTGGTTTGTCTATTACAGATTTCTGCTTTATGGTTATCATGTGGCTTACAAAAGCATCTTCTGATTATAACTAGCTATTTTGAAATGATAGCAGCTTACATGAGCATAAGAACAGAAAAAAATAAATAATAGAATAAGAGAAAATATAAGAAACTTCCACCTGCACCCCCCTTTCTGAAATTTTGGTATCACGTTTTACATCTTTCTATTTGCCTGTTGCTTAATATATTGTTCTTAACTGCTTTTTTTTTTTAGTCCACATACTGAAGATATTGTATAAGTAGCTTATATGACATGCTTATGAGACCATGTGTACTCTTACCAGTAAGTTTTATGTTTTCTTGCATTTTTTCCCCATTAAAAATCTCTTTTTAGTTTGAAGAAATTTTGGGGGGGTACTAGGATTCGAACTCTGGACCTTTGCTTGCAAGGCAGGTGGCAGAACCACTGAGCTGAATCCCTGGCCCATATGAAGAACTTCTTTTAGCATTTCATGTAGAACAAGTCCAGTGTAGATATATTCTTTCAGTGTTTCCTTCTCTGGGAAAGTTTTAGCTCTCCATTTCTAAAAGATAGCTTTACTGGGTACTATATTCTTAGTTGGCAGGTTTTTTTCCTTCAGTACTATGAAAATTTCATGCCATTCTTTTCTGGCCTATAAGATTTCTGCTGAGAAATCAACTGTCAGACAAGTTGGGGCAACCCCTTGCATTGGTTTTTTTCCTACAACCTGAAGAATCTTTCACCTGTAAGAGCTTGATAATAAGATGTCTCAGGGTAGACTTGGTTGAGTTAAATCCTGTTTATGACCTTTGATATTTGTATCCTTCTTCTGTTATCTGGATATTTTTATACTTCTCTAGGTTTCTCTTTGAAGCTTTCTACTCTTTTGGTAGTCTCGAGTCCTTCTTGAACCCCCAAGCTCCGAATATTTGCTTAATATTGTCCCAAACTTCCCATAAGCTTCTACTACTCTTTTTCCTTATCCAACTGTGTATTTTGAAATAGTGTTTTCAAGCTCAGTAACACTTTTTTGTCTATTGATCTGTCTTACTAATGATGCCTTCTATTGTGTTTATTTCATTGAGCATGTTTTCCAGCTCAAGAATTTAATTTTTAAAAACTTCTTCCAATCTTTGTTAGATTTCACTGTTAAAAGTATGAAAACAGGGCCAGGGATTTAGCTCAGTGTTACCACACCTGCCTTGCAAGTGCAAGGTCCTGAGTTTGATGCCCAGTACCAAAAATAAATAAATAAAATAAAAGAAAGACAGAAAGAAAATATGAAAGCATTTCTGATTTCTTTGATCTATGATTCCTTAAAATACCTGTTTCAATTCTCACAGTTCTTCCATACTGCCTGCTCCATTTGGGTGCTTTGAGTAACTAGGTGAGTGTCATGATTTCCTGAAAGCTCTTGATGATGCTTGATATGCAACACCATCTGGGAACTGAAAAATTAGGTTTTTTCTCTATAGTCTTCTAATCTAGGTTTTGTATTTGTCTTTCTAGAAATTCTAAACTGGCTTATTTTCTCTGAGCCCATAGTCACTTCCACTATTTCCACATTTGATAAAGCCAGACCCAGATTTGGCAGGGGTCAGTTATTGGTGTGCTGTTGCTGTTTTTGTACTGAGGCACTCCAAGCACAGGTTTATCCTAATATCCTGTGGGTGTGTTGTTCAGAAAGAAACAGTAGAGTACCAAAAGAGAATAGTATGTCTCTACAAGCTTCTCCCTGGGACCGGGATATTCTTGGATCCCTTACCCACCATTACTAGCCTGTGGTTAGGCACCGCAGGATTCTGCCTGGCCTGGAACAATCACTGTGAATATACTAGCCCCTGGCTCCTATGTCACAGGTAGGCCACTGAAGCTGTTAAGCTGTGTTACACTCTGAGCACACAGCCCACCAAGACCAGTACAGCACTGGATCAAGTCAGAACTAAGGCCCAAGGTCTGTTGGGCTGTTTATTGCTGAGGTGGACTTGTGGCTCAAGACTATTGTAACAGGCCACAGATGATACTAGCTGGAATAGACATCCAACAGACTGGGGCCAAGTGTCTTTCCCTTACACAGGAGCATTCCCAGGCAAATTTAGGAATAGGAGTCTGCTAGGATCTGCCTAGTGTCAAGTTTCACCAGTTTAGCACTAAGCCCCAGGGCAACGTATTTTGCTTGACTCTGTCCCACTCCCAACAAATGGGGTCTTGTTGGGGTAGTGTTAGTGAAGGTAAACCATCGTTACCTAGGATGATGCTAAGTTGGGTTGTGACTGAGTGTCACAGCTACAAGGACCTGCAAGTCTTGGGTACTCCAAGACTCAACACAGCTAATGGCAATTCAAGGCAAAGTATCAGTCACTGGGATGCAGGTCTCTGCTTGGTACCAGGACAGTTCTATAGTACCACCTGTGAACACTGGTTTGGTGATAGCTGTGCTGCCTGTGGTTAGAGAATGGGTGGTAGAGATAGTTCCTTGGCTGTCAAGGCTAATATTAAAGCTAGGTCACACCTGCGTCTGAGCTGCAGGGGACCTGCAGTCTCTGAAGAGTATGTCCTGGACCCACTAAGGTAGAAACTAAAGTCCAAAACTGAGGTATGTCTCACAAGCACATAGTTCTCTACCTGATACTGGAACTTGTCTAGAAGCTCTGTCCATGAGCTCTTGTGTGTGGGGTCTCCAGTTTCTACTAGGGTGTTTGATTGCACTGTAGAAAGCCTGGTACTAGGCTTTGAGATGAAGCTCTGTGCTAGTTTTGTGCCCTGCTCCCCAGTGGGTGGAGTCTCCATTGTACAGCCCCTAGTGGAGGAAGGGTGGGTGGAGGCAGTCCGTGGAGCCTAATGCAGCTCAGTCCGCAAGCTCAGACTACAGATCAACTCAGTCTGTAAGTACTGGCCTAGGAGGAGGTATGGGGCTTTTCACCATGCCATGCCTAGTACTAGGTTAAGTCTAATGCCTAAATTTCTCTCCCTCCTCCAAGCGGGAGGTATTTCTCTCTATGCTAGGCTGCTTAGAGTAGGAGGAGGAGTGATATGGTCAATTCTTTCCTTCCTGCCTTCAATGTGTCATTTTTTTGTCCTAAAGCAGACACTATAGTTTCTCATCTGATCTCCTTTAACCTTGTGCTGGTAGTTTGGTGCATAAGTGTTCCACTTGGTGTGTCTGTAGCCACAGATCCTAGAGGCTCTTACTCAGCTTCTAGCTTGCTCTACACCCTGCATAAAGCCCTATCTTTTTAAAATTGAAGTTCATCCTTCAATTTTGAATGCCATTCCTTTTTAAAACTGAAATGTTCTCCATGAATACCAAATTTCAAAATAATCAATTATCTAGTTAGGCTTGAACACAAGGGTTTCTTAAAAGAATACAATACTGTTCACTGCCTTCTAGCAAGAAAATAAGGGCCAGGATGTAGCTCCACGCACACTGCCTGCATGGCGAACACAAGGCTCTGAGTTTAATTCCTGGTATCAAAGGGGTGGGGAGAAAAACTACAAAGACATTAAGTGTATTGTTGACCTTCATTTTTATTTAAATATAGTAATCTTTTAAGAGAATAAACAACAAAAACACTATACCGCAAATAATATACATAAATGTAAACATGCATGTCTACTTCATAATTATTCCAAATGAACTTTAGGCACAAGATTTTAAAAATCATTAAATGAGACAATGAATTCAAGACAGAAATAACAGAAGCAAATAAAACATACATTTCATAATGTTTCAATTGGTCTTGTCTTCCAATCTACTGGTTAAGGCCTGAGTTTCAGAAATCCTACACTCTTTGCCAATGGGACTATCCACTTTGGCTGTACCTAATATACATATCCACATAACAAGACAAATAATTATCTTTCAAAATAATGTAATAAATACATCACACACACATACACACATACTCATTCAGTCTCTCAGTCTCTCTCTCCCTCAATCTCTCTCCTGGTAAACCAGTCTCTGAAATGGGGAAATTAGGATTTCAAGTTTTCCTACCACTGAAGCACACCACACATTAAAAAAAAAAAAA